AGAAGAAACAGAGAGAGTTCGAGCTGAACTAAGTCAACAACACATGGCAGATGATGCAAAAAGATGAGTGATGAATTCGATGCCAAGTTTCAACAGACTTTGATGATGATGGGTACGAGCGGATTCCAGATGCCTCGAGTATCTGAACCTTCCCAGGTACTAATCACACATCTTTTTTAAATCTTCTAAAGATTCATTTGATCCATTTAAACTTATTTAAGTTTCTTAACTAATTTCATATTATTGTTTCAGGGTTCACCTGTGATAAAAAGCGGAAAGGGCAGTAGTAATAATCAGACTGTGCCACTGACAGTGTCTGACCCTGACCCTAGCCTGACCCTGTCGAAGACAATGGGATGCCGTGTTCTCTCTATGGGGATATGAAAATTCACATGTTCATGTTGCTAATGGTCGAGGCATTCATGGGCCACAACGATTCAAGGCAACAAAATCCGAGCAATCAAGCAAGGGTGACAGTGTGGAGGAGAGGATTGTTCGTGGTCAGGGGGGTACACCAGTGCCTAATCCTACTGATGAGGTTCGACTCTTGGCCCAAGCTAAAGGACATTTCATTTTGTGGCCAAAGAGACTTATTACAAAGCCAATAGTGAAGAAGGCTTGGCAGCAAAGCAGGCCACAACGAGCGCATCATCTGATCCTGTACTCTTGCTCTTCCTAGTGATGTTGCGCTTATGTATTCCAGTTTGGAGGTTCTTCATTCCATAGTGCCAAACATGGATAAGCCTGTTACTTCAGATGCCGTTGGGGTGTGGTTCAGATATAACATACGACTTCACCATTGACAAGAGGGACCTCGTTCAGTTCCTCAACTTTGAGGAGCTGATATAGCCTTCATGCAGCTTGCTATTTTGTAAGTTACAATATCATTTTCTTATTACATATTATACTTCATGCATGTCCTAATGTTTTTTACTTGAACAACAGGCATTTTAATCAAATCTGTCGAGTCGAAACGGAGGACTTGAAAGAACATATGGCTTTATGTGTCCTCAAAGGGTGCAGAAAGAAATTTAATACTGTGGAAGCAAGGTCAATCTACATTATGACTGTAATGAGTCAGACCAAAAAGCAAATAATTTGCACCTTACGTGGAATGGTAAGGTATATGTATTTGAGATATACAAGTTGTATGTATCGGGTTATAATTAACATGGTTTGCCTTTTGCAGTGATCATTGGACTTTAATTGTTTGTGCCCCTTTTGACAACAAAGTTTAACTGGTTCGATTCACTCTGTGGAAGTCCATCGAAGAAACCAAAGATGTCATCGACACGTAGTTTTTATTTATATATTTATTACTTGTGAAGTGTTTTATACAAGCATGCTCTAATATCATTTTCTTCTATATGTTGATAGGGCTTTTCATAGTTTTAATGTCGTGGCGATTAAACAAAAATAGACAAGCACCACATGGATTCTCCACAGGTATATATGTTGGTTTGAATTAACTTTTAAACATTTTTGATGAGATTAAAGTTAATGTTTATAATCAATAATGTCTAATATTCAATTTTATATTTATTTTTTAAGTATCGTTGTCAACAAGGACATGTTGAGTGTGGATATTATGTCATCAGCTACATGAATGACATAATTGAGCGACAGGAACGACTGAGAAATTAAACGAGGTAAAGATGAGTTACGTTGCATGATGTTCTTCAATTATTTCTCATTTTGACTAAGTTTACTATGTTATTTGATTAACAGATATTTTCAAAATATTGCGCCATATCTCATGGATGACATCAACTTGATGAGGGACACTTTGTCAACAACATTGGTAGAAAAAATTGAAATTTAGCTTTCTCTCGGTTCCCTCTTATATTGTTCATGATTTCCATTGTACAAAGAAGTAGTTACTTCTATTTCAGAATTGTTGGACCTAGCTAGCCAATACGTGTTCCTTGGTTACCACTTAGTTCTATTATGTGGCCGGTTTCCCTTTTGGAATTGTGTAAAAAAAATTTCATTGCTGTATATTAACTAGCTAATTGATCTTGTTCTGCGTGATCTGCACTGCCTACATTTGTTTGGAGCTGTAAACTGCAGGGTGGTAAACACGAAAATTTCGCAGAATTTTAAAAAAAAAAAAAAAAAATTTTAACGGCGGTTATACATATAACGCCGTTAAAACGCTTTTCCACGGCGGTTCTATAGATAACCGCCGTGGAAAGTATACTTTCCACGGCGGTTCTATAATTAACCGCCGTGGAAAGTGGACTTTCCACGGCGGTCAACTATAGAACCGCGTGGAAAGTGGACTTTCCACGGCGGTTATCTATAGAACCGCCGTGGGAAAGTCCACTTTCCACGGCGGTTCAAACCGCCGTGTTTTCCTTGCCTTTCAACGTCGCCTTCAACAACTACGCCTTCAAAACCGCCGTTAAAAGCCACTTTTAACGCCGTTTAAAAGCTTTTTTTCTGGTAGTGCATAAAATTATTTATGATACAGTTTCACCCCTCAAGTATTTAAAAGGTGCAATCCCATCCAAATTGTTAAGGGGAGAAACACCTGTTAGTTTTTTAATTGCAGCTGGCCATTTTCAAATTTTGAAGGCTGACACTTGTCTGGCAATTGCTCACTCCTCCTCTCTTTTCTTCTCTTGGTCTCCCTCGACAGCCCTCTCCCCCCCCCCCAAAAAAAAAAAATCTCCACCAACAAGACCCTCTCTCTCTTAGATATTAATAAATGATTTAAAGTGTGTGTACATACATATGAGCACATTTCGCAGGAGAATCAATTATTTCATTGTGTTTCAAGATTCACCCATTATGCCCCTGCATGACGTTTATCATAACCAATTCATACCCAAAAAGAAACCAATCCATATCTAAACATCTTGCTCTGTCGGTGCAGGATTTCTCTCCCCATCACTGTCCTCTTTGTTGCCGCCCGCGGTCGTCCAAATCTGCATAATAGGTGTCATAAGCTGAGATTAAATTAGTACAGAGTGATATTACTGAATGTTGCAGGCCTCAGCAAGCACAATTGAGCAGAAGTTGAGAGCCTAAATTTCCACAATAACAAAGTCATATGAGAATCTACCACAACATGATCTGTTTTTGCCTTTTGAATGAGCCAAAAAGTTAAGCATTCAAAATAAGGCACCAGATGGTTGAATTATTCAGGATAACATCAGAGTTCGCTCAAATAGAGATTTCGGAAATTGATTTAGGTGAGAATTTTTTCCTTTTACCATTTTTCATGGCTCTTCTAGAAACATCGACAACCAGATAAAGACTACAAACGTGGTCAAAATCCATATCGGAATAGGGGCTTCATTGCTGATCTCTGAAGTTCCTGTAATAAAGAATTTTTTGTGTTTGCAAACAGCAAGGAAGTATTATTATGTGCCTTTGTTCAACTGGTTCAATGCTGTACTTTCAGTCTATTTGTTATGGCCAAACAGAAAACTTGTGATGAATTGGAATTGATAATAAAATGTAGAAACAGAGACTTGTCAATTTTCATACGCTGCAAAATTTATAATTAACAACGTAACAGCCAACCCCTGCTTAGAACCAATCTGCTGGTGTTGCTGCAACGTGTCTAGCTCCAAGTGCGACGTATAAAACAGAGGTATATGCCCAGTGAAGAAAGCAGCCAACGAGCACGAGTGAGAACCAGCGAACGCCCTTTTTCTTCTGACAATTTCTTCCCACGTACGACCTGCGAAGGTTTTCGGAGGCAAAACTATGAATTTCCCGCTCACCTGGAGAAATACGGGAGATTGAAATGAATTTGCAATGCACGACTCTAGATTCAAATGAGAAAATTGCCCCAGTTGTTTTTCATCCTAAATGCTGCGTTCTAATTAAATGGAGAATAAGTGGAGAGGGGTTTCAATGGAGACGTTCTGTGCTGGGTTACGGCGATGGTGGAGTGGCCGGATACTGGGGGATACGTGGAACCTTGAAAATTCCAGCTGTAAATAAAAAGTAACTGACGTTTTTCCAATTAACAGTTTGAATGAGATTACACCAATTTAAATACTTGTTAGGCGCACCTTAACCCTATGATATTTGTTCTGTTTTTTAAATAATTATATAATATAGATTATATTACTATATTTGCAAGTTGGGACCAACTCAATCGTATAAGTTCATGAAAGCAAGAAAACTTAAATTTAACCTGTAAAAATTTGTAATTCAAATTCAAAATCAGAAAAAGATTGAAAATTTTGTCCCCCTACGCGTGCGTGAAAGTGGAATGGCAAATTAGTCTGTTACCCTATTTATAGTGGGTTAGGCTGGAGTTTCACCAACCTATTAGGAGGTGGGCTGGTTTAGCTTGCTCCACCCACCCTCCATGGTTACCCTGTTTTTCAACTCTACATGTTTTTTAGATGGAAACTAAATTATAATTTTAAAAATACTTTTACAGTATACAAAGTAAATATATGGAATAATCTGTCTTGATTTACAAACATTCTCTTTTATCTAGTAATGATAGCCTACCACATATACATTGAACCGGCACATATCTGCTCATGCTAGTTGAGATTCTCTTCTTTCTGGGTTGAAACTTTGAATATGTTCAAATTATATTGTTGAGAACCTTATTATAGGATTTAGGACTCTTATATAGGATTTAAGGCCCGTATAGAATATCTTATAAACAGCTTTTCAATCATGATTTACAGAATACAAAGTTAGTATATGAAAAGAGTTTTGTCTCCTACTATATGAAAAGTGATTGTTGATAATTGTCATCCCAAATGAGGCCTTGGTTGTTTCAAATCTACCTAAACCATAATCTGATCTCTGTATATATTTGCCAACCAAATCCTTAAAATTGAAAGTACCAAGAAGAAGTATCTGCAGTACGTACGTATATACATTTACAAATCAATGATGCAGTATTTTGGTCCAGGAGTCCTATAATTTGACATTAACACTTAAAAAGTAGGGCACCCTGGAGCCTTAACACCTGGTGCTGTGGGGCACTTGGCCAAGCTACAGTGATCATCAGCTTGCAGGCCCCACCAAGTGGGACCTATAACATCGTAGCTTTGCAGGGTTAAAAACAGAAGAACACCAGTAAAAGCAACACCAGCATCAAGACCAGCAGATAAAATATAAGTATGCCTGGCCCACCAACCCTTAAACCTACTGTACACATAAAAGTTGAAGAAAATGCCAACGATTGCCCACATTATATAGTTCACTGATTTTGCTGGAAGTAAGCCTCCTGCTCCGCTGAAAATGATGGGCATGTTTATGAGAGGAATCCATTTCTGGTTTGGGAACTTGCGTGAGAGAATCCAAACTGGGACAGGAGCAAGAAGACCAATGAGGAAGAACCAGTTCATTTGTGGGTAGTTTCCTTCCTTTGTGAACATTCTTTTTGGTCCTATCACTCCCCAAATGATCGATGCGTTGTAGAACACATCGTCGCCTGGGCATGTCCAGGGACTTCCTTCTGATAATAGACTAGCGTCACAGATGTTTTCTACTGTTGTTAGAAGCCACCATGCTGTGCCAAAATACACTACAGAAGCAACTATGGTTCCAGCCAACTGCGAATAAATAAACCATAATAAGCTCAGGTATAGGGTGAGGATCCATTGTGAAGAATGAATATATATATATATATATATATATATGGGGCAAATGAATCATTTAGTCCGTATAATTTTGCTTCATTTGTAACTTGATTCTTAAATTTATCTCGACATAACTCTATCCCTGTATATAGTTTTTACTCATTTGAAACTCATGCAATTCAGTACCTATATTTAGCCATTGAGACATTTAAATAAAAATAACTTTAGTTTTGGCAATTTTAGTTTAAAAAAACTATAGGGACCCATATTTTGAATGGTTAAAACTTCAAGGACTGATGAGTCTTATCAAGTCAAAGTTCATAGACTGAACTTCGATCGAGTCAATAATACAGGAATTGAGAACTGAGTTGTATTGAGTTAAAGTTGGAGAACTAAGTTGTAACTAAGGAGCAATGATTAATTTATCCATATACATATACAGATGGATAGATAGATATACCTGCACAATGAACATAGATTTTGGAGGAATTTTCATGTAGTGCCCTAATTTGAAATCAGAAACGAAGCTAAGGGCTTGAGCCATGCTAATGTAACCGTAGGTCTTGAAAGCAACATTAGCAAGAGGTCTTCCAGGGTAAATGAACCCAATGATTAACTCTGTGATAACGTTAAGGCCTACTTGCTGCACAGAGATTGAAGAAAACAAGTCATTTCACAGAGAAAGAAATAGTGGTAATTAATCAAAGTTATAATGTGATTCAGAGCTAGAACGAAAATCCATACAATATTTGTTGTGGCTTGGACGACCCCAATAGGCAAAGTGAACACAAATGCAATAGCGAAAGAGAATAAGACTCCCCACCATGGAAGTTGAAGCTGAGCTCCAAAACCTTGACAAGCAAATAAGGCTAGACCTCCCATTATAACCAAAATAGAAACAAACCACCAATCTGGAACTTGTTCATAGTTCTTCTTCATAATCCTTGTGTGCACATCTGCAAAATGACCTTTTAACTGATCTGTCGTCTTCTTCCACATCTGATATATAGTCCTTTCAACACATAAAACAAACATGTTTGTAGTAGTCTCCAAAGTGATCATGAAACCAAACATGGCTGATACATATGGGAACTTATATATGAACTTACTTTCCATGAAAGAGGCAAACATGTGAAATAGTTGCAGTAAGAGTTGCGAAGCTGAGGCCATAGTTAAAGGCAAATAAGACACTTAAATAGAGTTTGCTATAACTGTTATATTGGTCCATGTCAATGTCAAAGTTAGCTTGATTCAAAACCCTAGTGACGTTGTACTTTGCACCAGTGGAATCAAAGGTGTGAGAGCTAAAGAGAGGAAACTTCTTGGCTTCAAAAGAATTGGACCAATAAGCAATGGGGATGACGACGTAGAGGAACAAGCCAAACCCTACGAGGACGTTGACGATGACGAAGCCTGGGTTAGCCAAGGGACTGCCTAAGAAACCGGCCACCGTGTTCCAGTCGAGGCCGAAGGAGCCGATGCCGAGGCCGGACATGCCGGAGCCGATCTGCTGGGCGGTTACGGAGTGCTTCCAGATCAAACAAACGAAGGATATGGCTGAGATTGATGGGAAGAAGTAGCCTGGGATTATGTAATAGGCGAAGCTTGTTGCAAAGACCAAGGAGAAGAATTGAAGTCTTGTGGTCCCACCCCTTGGCCTCCTTTCTTTCTCATGGAAGGCCCTAAAATGTTAACAATATATGAATTAAAAACAACAGAGACTGAGTTCAAAGGAAAAGCTTGCAAATGAATGACAATTAATTGAGTTTGTGGCATAAACAAGATCATAAACTTATGCTTTGGAAGATGTTGAAAGTGAGAGCGTAACTTGTTATGGATCATAGATGTCATATATTTGTTCAAAAATCATACATCTAGATAACATCGGTTCTCATGTCAATAAATAGAAAACAAACAAAAAGAAAACAAGAATATTGAATTATTTATTATTTAATATTATCTATAAAGAAAATGAATTCATTTTTGTGAATATTTACCAACATACTAATATAAAATTATACTACGTAATCTTACAGTATGGGTTTGGTATTAAATTAATATTTCATCCCACTTTGTGCCTTAATTATTATTCTCTTTTCAAACTAATTTATCTAACTTATGAATTGATATATAATTTAATGTTACACGGAATTATATTGAGGAGATCAAATCACATTTGTCATTAACTAATTGAACTCATTTTCTTAATCTGTCAAAGTTAATAAATAGCTCTCATGTTAAAGAACAAAGTGTACATGACAAAAACTTGTATATTTAACTTTATATACATAAGGTTCTGGTTTCGAACCAAAGACAAGTGGACCTAATTTAATTTTTTTATTCTATAACAAATTCTTATTATCAGTATCATTAATATTTTAAAATTATCTTGTCGTAACTTGATTGGACAAAAAAAATACCTCCAATCTTTAATATAAAAATTTGATAACTACTTTGTCAATATTAATAAAATTAGTTAAATTAGTCATTTATAATATTTTTTTTAAAATAACCTCTTAATCATGCACATTTAAATGAAAACCTTAAACATATACTATCACCATAGATATTTTAGATGAAAATGAATAAATATGAGATACAAAGTAGATCAAGGTCTTATATTTAAGACCAAAATTAAATATCTAATTAGTTTTTATATTTATTAGTATTTATCACTGAAGGTAGTATTAACTCATTTGTATTTAAGTCTGCCCCCACTCCTAGATAGGGTTACCAAAACTTATGATATTATAATACTAATAATATTTTTATTGAGTTTGTCTAAACGGATAAACAAAGGAGATCACCAACAAACAATGGCTTCAAGTTCAAGGAGAACAGAAAAAAAGGCACTGAACAATTTATTTTATTTTGACTTTAATATATTCATTGAAATAGTAAATACCTGAATAGAGAGACCTGAACCAGATTTGCTGGCCACCACATGTAAGGAGAGTCAACAAGGAACTTCCTAAATACTCCAGCCCATCCATATCCTATCATCTGTCCCCAAAAAAAAAAAAACACATCACAAACACAACATAAATAAAACTGAAATATTGGCAGCTTGTAAAAATCTTTTCATGTATACTTATGTCTTTTATTTTTAACAATTCACAAGAAATCAGAAGTATCATGTGGATATTATTTATGGGGACGGTATGATATGAACCAAGTTGTGAGAAAAATAAAAGCAAAGGCGCACTTCTTTTAAGACGCACATGACATGCCTTGTCTTTTGCCTCAGCGGTTCACGCATCCATATACGCATCCTCGTGTCATTTTGTTTTCCTCTCTTTAGGGATTTCATATGAGGTTGTAATATCAGACCAAGATCAACCTCATAACGTCTAGGTGACCAAATATTTGGGGAGTGTTTGGGAACCTAGAAAAATGTTTTTAAAAAGTATTTTTTCACAAAATGAGACAGACTTCTCTATATATTTACTTTGTATACCTTAAAAACACTTCTAAAATCATGATTTGGTTTTCTTCCAAAGAGCTTCTTGGACTTTACAAACTTCTATATTTGAAAATTAAGAAGTTGATTATAAATCATAATTAAGAAGTTGATTATAAAAAATTTTAAATGAGCTCTCAAAAATTTAAGGATAAAGTGAAATATAAGTTTAACGAGCGCAAATCCTTTTCCATAATATTTGTATGCAACTTTAACTATAATAGATATTGCAACGAGAGAATTTTCGACAATTCTCGCTTCTTTTTAGTTTTCCCTTAAAGAAGGTCACATGAAGTGTTTGTTTGAATTATTATGAAAATTAACCTCTATTATAATGTTTTTAAAGTTTAAAAATATCCGGATATTCGTAGCTTATACAATAAAAAAATTAGAACGCAATCGTGTATTACATAAAACCATTGAATGAACAATGACTAAACGCTATAAACCAGAAAATTACAATTTTCAAACCATCGAATTTCACGAAAGCATAAAACTAATTTTCCAAAAATAAAATCTTATAAAACCTTTCGGAAAATTGTTTTTGGAAATAATTACGACTTCTAAAACGAAAATCTTTCCCTATAATTCCATCATGCAGTCAACATCCTAATTGTCGTGTCGTCATCAATTTTTGCAGATACCATTTTCACCCACGAATCTCCTCAGATTCCTAAGAACATACATAATCTTCTATACTCCACATATACCCCAAAAAAAAAACAACACACACAGAGACACACACTCAAGAACACAATTTAGAGTGTTTGAATTAACTTATTCGACTGATTTTGTCTCCTAAAACATAAAGAAGCTTTTTTAATTAAGTGATTATATAAGAGGTTTGTCAAATTTAAATGCCAAAAGAAAAAATCATACCTGGGTAGTTATTGCAAGCAAATAGGCAGCCAAGGGATGGATACTGCGATGATAAAAAGCTTTAACAATGGTAATAATGTTAATGGCGTAAACCCCACTTGAACCAGAGCTGGCAAAGATGGTGATGAGCACGTGTTCTTTCAGAGTAAAAGGCCCTGGGTTCAGAGAAAACGACCAGTTCGTCAGTGGGACCCCTATCTTCTTTCTGGGCAGCGTCGCCGCCATGAGCTTCCCCAGCGGAAGACTCACAATCTGAGCCGACACAGAGGTAATCGTGAGCTGGTTCGTCCTGTAACTGAAGAACTGGTTCACGAACGCCAGGATTACGCACGACATTAAACCTAGCACCCATGTTCGAAACGTTAACGCCGGTTGGCTTGCGTCGTCGGTGATTGGAACCGTCAGCCTCACTTGCTCGATGGGGTTGTCGTTTATCTCTCCTTCTTCTCCGCCGCCGCCGCCGCCGCCGCCGCTGCCCCCATCATCTTCATATCAATAACAACCAACAACGGTTTAGGTCTTAAATCGCCAGTGAGACAAATTTAGAAATATAGTATGTAGTTTTCTCCAACGAGTTGACCCCATTATATTGATACTGATGTAGCCTCACAAATTTGTTCATCCTCGCCTTACTTAATTATCTCGTTGTTTCGTTGGAGTCACACATAATGACCAGAAGAAAGAAGGAGAAAGAAAGCCAAGGGCTTTCTTCAGATAATGATGAAACTGGGAAGGATATAATATATATATATATATAGAGAGAGAGAGAGGGAGGGGGAGAGGGGGAGAGAGGGAGAGAGTTTGTGATACCTAGGATGTCGAGTTTGGATGGCTTGTCTGAGTTTGGCTGATCGTTTCCATTGACAGCAACTCCTCCGGCCATTGCGGTGGGGCGTCGATGGCGCTAAGCTTTCCTTTGTTTTTGTTTCCCACTCAAGAAATGTGACATTATCATATTATGTGTGCCTCTCTGTGTGTGTGTATATATATGTGGCGATATTTTAAAAATAATAATAATAAATCCTTTTTTAAATAACGAGTTTTTCATTATTAATAGTTGGTATTCTGATTATAGTAAAAACATGTCATATTGTTAGGTGACAGTTATTTGTTCAAATTATGAATCGTCCCCGACTTTTGGTATCATTCATTGGAAAAATCCAGTTTAATTTATCTATAAATTACAATTACAATTTACAACTAAGAAACCATCTGTAAATTTTAACTAACAGATTTAATTTTCTCCTTTTTCTTGGTTGTGGATTTAATCTGCAAATAATATTAATTATTTCTTTTTGGTCTTTTTGCAAGGCTTAGGGGACAAAAATGATGGGAAATATTGCCTGTAGAATGACAGCTGTAGTTGGCTGTAGTAGTCCTGTGCAATAGACGGTTTAAATTTTCTTATTATTTACTGTAATTCTTTTGTATTTTGTTTTTAAAGAATAAAATACAAAAAATGGACGGTTCAAACTTCAAAATTTTTCTTATCATTGTTTAGGTATAATAATAATAATAATAATAATAGTAATAGTAATAGTAATAATAGTAATTAATGCTGTAATAGAATCCTTTGAGCATCTGAATCCCGGAGTTTCGGCATTATTCAATGTCATTGGCTAAGGAAATGTATGTAATCGATATTATTCCATTGTCAATATAACCTAATTAAGTTTTGGGAAAATTATTATAAACTCCTAAAAACTCTCAATAACAACTCAATGGTATAAGTATTATCATTTTCCTGCGGTGGAATTCATCATTAAATATCAGTATTTAATTGTTATGAAAGTTTTTGATAATTTGTATTTTTAACCTCTATTTCTTTTTAAAAAATTTCAAAAAATTCTTATTTACTCTTAATTATTGGTTTACGTTTTTTCTTATAAATTTCCCAAATTTAATGAGAGACATGTCGTAGAAAAGGAACTTAATGGTTGGCCAAATAAAACAGAAAAGAAAAATGCATTTAATGGCTCGAATAAAAGTGAATAATGAGTATCATGTGGGTCACCAAAAGTTTCAACGACATACTTTTAATTACAGGTTTCTAATATCATTCATCACCACTTACAAGCGTTTATTGATTCAAAGACGCATAAATATAGGAATTCCTCATTGTCTCCAAAACAGCTTATCTTGTTGTTGGAATGGCTGAACACCCAAGAGGGGGGTGAATTGGGTGTTGATTAAAATTAAAAATCTTTTCACAATGTGATGAAATTCATAAGAAATTCTGAGTATAAAAACCAATGAATCGAGATAAGCATAATCACAGTAGTAAAATGGTTTAGCTGGAAATATAAAGAGGTAAGGGAAGAGAATATGCAAACAGTGATTTATCCTGGTTCGGTCCTCACTGACCTACGTCCAGTCCCCAGGCTCCCCCTGAGATTTTCAATCGACTATCTCCCTCAAGTTTAACACGGGTACTTGAGAACCACTACAATCACAAGTTTGATTCGGGCACTTGTGTCGCCACTTACAATCCTTAGACTAACCAGTCTAATTCAACAACAACCTCTCACTGAGGTAATAACTCCCCCTTACACACCGTAGGGATACGATCTGATAATGATAAGGAAGATTGAATATTTCTTCTCTCAAAGAAGTGATAGATCAATCTTAAGCACATTTTGGAAACTCTCCTCTCTATCTCACGAATACATAAGTTTTAGTCTATGAAGTACAAAGACAGGGAGTTTTCTTTCGGAGCTCTAAATGAGAATATGTTGATTCGGCATTTTAGCATTTGATGTTGTAAGCTCAGACTCTTCTCCTTTCTTGTTTTGAATGCTCTTCTATTTATAGATGATATTGGGTACTTGACTGTTGAGCACTTTCTTCCCGTTTGGCTTGAAGAATATGACCGTTGAAACTAGCCGTTGGAAGCTTCTGACGAAAGTCGATTCTTTACCTCATAAATTCGTTGTGGCTCTTTACCTGAAATAATCTTCCTCAGATCAAGTGATAAGTATATGATAATCTTAGAAACAATAAGTTGGAAAACATGGAATCAATCATCAGATCTTCAGATATTCAGAAAGTAAGATAAACTTACTTAATCGATGCCTTGATCGATAATCCTTTGATCGATCATATTATCGATTAATTATATGAGGAAAAGATATAGTAGATATATGCAATTATCGAATAGATTATGGATCATATGATGATTGAACAAATGATTGATAAATGATGAAGCATGAATACAGTGACCCAAAAATGATTTATGCAAGAATAAACCTTTTCAAGTTACCTTTGCCTTCGTGTCTTTTCGATAAAGAGTTATATGTTAAAAGAAGGCTGAGAAAAGCTTGAAAGAAAATAGATCATTGATTTTAAGAATCATCATAGTCGACTGATGTTTAAACGGAAAACGTTCCATGATCGAACAAGTGATCGAACACTTATTGATCGAACAGATTATCGATAATCCAAGTGTTACAAAAATGAAACTTCAGTCATTGATGATCGAACAAATTATTGATAAATGGATGATGGATAAGGTTATCGATAAACAAAGTGTTATAGAATAGAATTTTAAGTAATGATTTTCCGAACACATTATCGATAAACAAATAATAGATAACCTTATCGATAAACAATAAGCAAAAGTATATTCGGAGAAAACACATGCTATGTAGGTTGATCGAATAGGTGATCGATTAATGAGTGATCGATAAAGTTATCGATAAAGTAAAACAAGGAGATTTAATCCTGTAAATTCAAAGAACTGATTTATCGATCACGTTACGTGAAAAACAGGGTAGACATGTAAGAGCAATGATCGATCATATTATCGATAAATGACTGATCGATGAGGTAATCGATAAATGGAGACTAAAGCAAAACATAGAATGAGTAGAACGCATTACCATTTATCTGTCTTCTCATCGATAATCTATTTATCGATCATGCTATCGATAAATGCCTATTTATCCATAACGTTAACTTTGTTTATCGATCAAGTGATCGATAAATACATCTATCCATAATGTTATCCGAAAACCATTTATCCAATAGGTTATAAAACCTCAATAATGCATATGAAGATAAAAGAGAAGAATTAAAGAGATAGTACCAGGAACTCGATAAAATGATCGAATATGTAGTTGCTTGATCAGGCTCGAGTAACATCTGATAATGACTTTTCATTTCCTCATTTCTTCTAGTGCTTTTACTCAATAACATGTTTGAGTAGTATGTTGTTTGAGAGATTAATCAATCAATGTAGAACTTCTGGTCTTTGCCTCAATAAATTCGAAGTCTGATTCGAGCAGAACGAAGGTCAATTTTGAGTGATCATAACTCTTCCAATTCAACTCCAAATTTTGCAAATGACCTATCCCCAGAAAGCTCTTTGAGTCTACTTTCTAATGCAACAAGAATCACCCCAAAATTCGTTGTGGTTGAAAATTTATCTTCATCACAATGACTAAAGGTCGGAATCAAGGCGTTAATCCTTACTGCAATGTTTCGAGCAACATATCTCCCTCATATGAAACTCTTTGAAGTTGATTTTGGTGTCCATGAACCGTGTTCTGAGTCTAGTTTCATATGAATTAAGTTTCACTTCAAACGGATTTGTGGTTTGAGAGATATTGAAGAAATACCGAACCTATGTCAGAGCTGAACGAAGAACAGAGCATAACAGAGGATGCATTTTATCGATAACTTGATCGATAAATGGATGATCGATCAAGTGATCGATAATTGCCCATGAAAATCACCTCTGAAGCTTATTTTCCATGTTTATATGAAGGGTGACTCAATATATGATGGTATAATTTCCCGGTTGTATATTTTAGCTTTCGACTGGGCCATCCAAACTTCTGATTGAGTGTAGCAACATTTAACATCAAATCTATAAACTTGAATCTTGATATTTTCATTTGATCTTGCAAGTTCTTCTTTTCTCAATCTCTCTTCTTCTTCTTCCTCTTGATCATTCTCCATAACTCAAAGTGCAACATAATAACTCTTTTCTTTTCTTGAGAAAACTACACAAGATATTAAGTATGATAGTTAGTCAAAATATGAGATAAATAATTTATGTAAACTTTTTGCTCTATTATTTGACATCATCAAAACTAATCATATCTAACACTTGTAACATAATTTGGCATGCTAAGAATATACTCCTCTGATTATATTTATAAGGGCACTTTCAACATATTTCACACAAACTAAGAAAAATCTTAAAATATATTAACTCTCCATCAAAACATAATAAGTTCTCAACTTTACCCATATTTAATATATATATATTTCAAAAGAAATAACTACCTACAGTATAACAAATGAAGGACAAGATAGTATATTTACACTGAAAATTTGATGAAGTGGCTTATAAATAGGACCAAAAAAATTCTTCTCTCTCTGCCCTATAAATAGGACCAAAGGAGTATTAAATTGTCAATTTTTTTAATTTTTTTATTTCCCCATACTTATAAATCATTCTCATATCTCTCTCTTTTTCTTCTTTCAAATGAGAATTAAGTAAGGTAAAAAAAAAAAAGCATTAAATATACTACAAGTGACTTATATTTAGTATGAAAATTTCTCCTACAAGTGACTTATATTTAGGATTAGAGTGGTAATTTTTTATTTGGAAATGCAGAATAAAAAATTAAATTAAAGTAATTAACTTCTTATGAGTTTTTCTTATAAAAATTAAATTACTAAAAAATGGATAAATTAGGATTAGTGAATCCATCAAAAGAGCGTTTTAAGGTTTAGTCTATGGTCAGACCAATCACAATTAAAATAATATTTGATGAAAATATGCAGAAATATTTATATATAATTCTAAAAGAAGTAATCCACAAATAAATAAAATATTCATGTATAAACACGTATAATCCCATAAAAGAGGGTTAC